GAGAGAAGGGTCATGACTAAAATTTGGCGCTGGAAAGAAAATTCGAAGACGTACGAGGTTTCAAAGACTGGTGATGGCTCGCTTTTGGATCCCGAGTTTCCAACCTTCTCTTATTTCTTACTGGTGGGGGAAAAGTCCTTAAAACGGACTAAATTCAAAAAATAACCACGCAGAGCGAAAGAAGTGCTATTTCTCAATGATAGGATAAAATGTCGAGGCTTTATTTCACGTTTTGATGATTTTATTGAAATTTTTGATGAATCCCCATACATTTCCTTATGACAGGACACCACAGAAACCAAGCTYGGGCTACCTGTGGTCAGGAGCCCTTGTTCTCAGATGCTTCGCTAAGTTGGGATTCCTGTGTTGAATCCATCCCAGAGTTCTTGTCACTTTGTTATTTTCAAGATGGCGGCCGCCAGGGATGCGGAACAGCACACACCATTTTGTAAAAGAGACTGCAAACTTTCACATCACGAGCTCATCAAAGCTCTCTTCCTTTTTAATAATTTCTCTGATGGCTACTCTAAACCCGGACACCTGCATTTGTTCTACGAAAGCATCCAGTCTTGCATTTCACATGGATGGCCGAAGGATTCTATCGTTCCCGATGTATCAAGAGATCTTCAATGTCCGCTCGTTTATCTTGCTTGTGCTTTCGGGAAACCTAAAGCTCTTGCTCTTTTGCTAAAGATGGGCTTTGAACCTAACGTCWGCATAAGACAAACCGGAGAAACGGGTTTGCATGCAGCCGTTAGATACGTTTATCAATCAGGTGCATGGTCCGTCAATAATGGCAAGAAAGGTGTTACGAAGGTCCGACCAAAAACAAGAACTTCGTCCTTTGAAAAAATTCTCGATTCTCTAACCGAAAAGTTTCCAGAGATCTTAGGTCAGAAAGACATAAATTGGGATACGCCGCTACACATCGGAGCCCAGGAATTAGAAGATATWAGAGAAGAGGAACGCGACTGTAATGGGAAAAAACTTTTGATGGCTTTGAATAAYCGTAAGCTACATTTCGAGCAGTGTCTTAAGAGTATGCTTGCGAAAGTCGTGAAACTTCAAAAACAAGGCGTAATAAGTGCTGAAAGAGCAATACAGATTATTTGCACCAAAAACAGAGAAAGGAAGAGCATTTTGAACATCTTATCCGGTTCAAGCGAAAAAGATGGTTCATTGGAATTTTTAAATTCTGTCTTGTCAGAACTTGGGAAAAGATTGTCATCTAACAATGTTCCAGGGAGTGGTATAGGAACACAAATGACAGATGACCAAGGTAATGGGGAATGGAAGTATGATTTATRGCACCTTTCATAATTASGCGACCTCAACAAATTTGGCGCCAGCCCAAAACRGGGTTTTGGCTTCTGTCAATCAAACTCATGATAACAACCAAATGCAAACTGAGYGAATTGATATCAATGCAAAACTTGTGATTTATCCTGAATAGATTAGGAAAAAACTTCGAGTAAATTCAGATCAAACATCAAGATAAACRAATATTTTATTGTGCTTAAAATARATTTATAAATACCTGAAAGGTTATTCTATCAAGCATGGACTGGTTGCAGAAAAAATCGTGCAGTGTCATAGACCTCTGCGATATTGTTYTCACCATAATTCACCTTGTCATTAGGCAGATTAAGATTCCCATTTTTACTTCCCGCAAACGGCAAATGTGACCATGTTTTCATTGTTTCVCTACATTTCACTTTACCTTTTGCAAACCTTCTCGACAAAGACAAGTATTCTTTTGTTTATCTACTACTTGGAGATTTTTGCAATCCCTTTTCACCAATTTTAAAGAAATTTTTAATGGTCAACTGACGTTTCACGTTTCRCGTTTGCCGTAAATGAGAATCTATTTAAGGATAAAATGTACATAAAATGTATTGTGGTTTAGTCATATTCTAAGTGAGCAGACAATACACATGATACTTCAGCTGGAAACCCTTCTTGACTATCAAGCTAATTGGTCATAAACCGATCTGTACACTGTGACTCATAGCTCCTCTTCCTTCCTTAAGATAATTAATCTTGTGACTCATATCCGTGTAGTCTGTAAATCTACGATTCAGGGTATTGCTCTAGTTCAATTTTTTTACACATCAAAACATCTTGTCCACTGAGTACAATGTAATCTTTGAAATATTAYGAAATATTATAGAAAACCTTAYATATAGCATTGAAAGAAAAATGTTCTGGATCAATCGTAATCTACCAGGTTATGATCAAACAGCTGCACCATAACGCATTTTTCGTTTCTTTATGTAGTTTCATCACTTTTTCACAAAAGCCATGCTAAACTACTAGAACTGAATCTCTGTGATTTCTTGCTCAAACTCTCAGCCAAAACCCATGTTTTGGGCTGGCACCAATTTTGTTGAAGTTGCATATTTATGAAAGGCACTGTAATATGATGCTTGCATTGGTGGCAGAGGAAATATATGTGTGTATGTATAGAAGTATGGGTGGTAGTAGAGGGTTGTGTAGTATGATTTAATTTGATGCTTGTATTGGTGGCAGAGGCAATATATGTGTGTATGTGTAGAAGTATGGGTGGTAGTAGGGGGTGGATGGTTTAATATGATGCTTGCATTGGTGGCAGAAGAAATACAGAAAAAACTTATCTGTAACTCCCTTGGATTTATGTCACAACCCATTTTCCCAATTGTAGCTCCATAAAAATTTAAACTGTATTTCAACTACTAATAAAAYGGACATTGATGTCATTCACCATTGAGGGACACATTCACGATCTTTTTAGTTTTGAATCCATGATCTATAATCAAGATGTCAAAAATCAAAAACCCATGCACTAGTAATGCAGTAGATGYCACCTCATCTAGGGGCAGGGGATGCACTTCCCCTCACAACCCTTTCCTACACCTGCCACTAACTGTACATTTTTTACTGCCACCTGGTATGTCAATGTATGTGAAATAGTTTTGGTTTAATAAATAAATAATACTTATTTTTCAGCAACTGTGCCCTCCATGGTTGTGGTGAATCCCCATTACAAGACACAAAGTGCCAGCCAAGCACCCTTACTTTGGGTCCAAGACACACAACCCAATAAAGGAACACTTAACCATTCAGATCAAAAACATGCKACTAATTCTAAGTATCCACTGTTTATCCAGTCACAAAGCAATGCTCAAGGTAATGCTGAAGAAAGCTCTGTCATTCATGTAGTGTTTGGAGCTGGAGACAAAGCAACAAACCAGAAAAATGAAAGCTCCTTGGGAAGTCTTCCATTCAACTCACACACTCAACAACCTCATGCTGTTACAAAGATTCCTAATTCTGTTACAAGAAAAACACCACAACGAAAACCAAACAGGAATAAGAGAAAAAGCWCTGAATCTGCACCACAAATAGGTAACACCTGTAGCACTTCAATGCAAAGTCAATCAATTCCTCCCAAAATACCGAATAATGTAACATCTGAGGAACCAAAGTTACCCGAGAAACCTAACAATGAGTCTGCTGAGAATAATGAATCTTCAAATGCAGCTATAAGTAAACCAAGTGAAATTCATACTGTCGTTAACAAGAAGTCTAGTTCAAAGGACAATCTAAGACGAGAACTCCGAGAATTTCACCAAGCTTCATTTTCATTGGAAAAGGAATGTTTTAGCTTGGAGTCAGAGAGACTCGAGTGTCTYCATGGGATCAAACTAAGAAAGGACAAAATTGAAGACTTGCAGAAACAGATMGCTGAGCTGGAGCAAAAGGCTGTTCAACTTGCTAATTCAAAGGTTATTGTTGAAGCAAATTGGAAAGCTGTACAGGAAAAAGAAAAGGAATTAAATATGCTGCTTTTCCCCCCAGATCCTAATACTGGAAACAATGTAACAGAATCCTCAAAAAGATTGAAGTTAGTCTGAGAAAATGTAATTTCAATCCAACCGAAAGTAAAATTTTGTAYAAATTATGATTTATTTACAGTCTGATGGACTCAAAAATGAAGCTCATTCATGTGTTAAATTTGGAATAAAATTTATTTTGATATACATCAGTTTAAATTTTCTTATATTGGAAAGTTGACTCTTTTCTTACATTTTCATGGCACATATCACTACTCCTGTAGGGGCAGTTCCAGGATTTTTGGGGGGGGGGTGCACCGTCCAGGACATTCGTTTTAGGATGGGGTGCACCTCTTGCTTACAAACTCAAACACCAATAATGCAGTAGATATCAGCTCACCTAGGGGAGGTGGGTGCACTACTCTTGCACCCTTCCCCTACATCCGCCCCTGAACTTTACTCTGATGATTGGTTTCTAACATTGAAAGGAGGATGGCTTAGTGAATCAAGGCTAGTGTAGCAGTAGTGCGCTTGCCTGTCGCTTCTGAGGTCGTATCTTCGATTCCTTGACTTCGTATTATTCTAGCAGAGTTTGTTAGGTCTCTCCCTTGATGTCATGGTCTCTGATTCTGAATCCAGTTTTCCTTGCTTTACAAAGCCCACTAATGTATATATTCATATTCAATCTGCGAGTGAGCCGTGCCCTGACATTTTCATAGATCAGCCCTAAGGTTGTTTCAGGGTATCGATAAAATCAAGGTTTGTGCAAAGGATAGGAAATRCTGCACTTAGTGCAGAATTTTTACGGATGTACAAATTTTGCACTAAGGACATGCCGTGACCGTGACGGTACAAACTAAGCATTCTGATTGGATGACAAGTAAATCCGTGCCGCTACTGAGTGGCCGTACGCGCCGAGGGCATTTCATAGCCAAACTCTCAGAGTCGTAGCCCTTCAATTCACTTAGTCGTCAAGTGACTTTAACAAATCCATTGTCTTAGWAAAATGCATTAAGGTGACTGCCTACTTTTGAACGTTCGATTTGAGCCCACGATGTGCGCGCGCTCAAAAACCGCCGAATGATCTACGCGATTTTATTGAAGAACAATAAACAGTTTGAACTTCAAGAGGGCAAAACCCACAAATTTTGCACGGGACTTTGAGCTATTGAGCTTATTTGAAAAAACTTACACAAATCTACGTCATATCAAATTCTTTAGAAAAGTTAATTTATCTAAAAATATAGATTTTTGTAGGAATTTTTGTTCGGATTTATGAGATTTTTTAGGGCACTGAAAGGACGAAATATGACAAATTAATGTATTTCTTTGTCTTAATATCCATGTAGTATTGTAGGAATTCTACTGAACTTATTAATTTGTGCGGCAAATGCTTGGATTTCTTAAGAAGTTTTTCAGAGATATATGGTATGCACCCTACCTACATCGACTCGAGTGAAAAACGTCTGCGCATGATTTGAATCCGTATGCAAATTATTAAAACATATGTAAACTTGACTTTCAAAATGAATTGGACTTCACAAAATGCCAAAACTTAATTTCTATGCTTGAAACTTAAGGCTAATTCTTTCATATTGTGTTTGTTAATAGAGTATTCCTGGTCTTACAAAAGTATACTCGATAAATGTTTGRTATACTTGGAGAAACAAACATTTATTTTCTCACTCAAACTCTTCAAAATTCTTAGAGAACTTGCTGAAATGCACGCATGCGCAAACGTCTTTTCTYTAGTGTCCATGAAATCTTAAAAATAATTTACATAATGTAATTTGCATAATTTCCAGACGGAAATCAGACGCGCACCTGCGGCTGGCGAAAGGTTACTGTAAARATCAGATTGAACATATGTTCTTTTATTCACTTTTCGCGCACCAAAGCGTTACTGTCGTTCGAGACTCTAACCTTGAACACTCGAGTTTGTCAACCAATCAGATTACGAAAACAATAGAATTCGGGGTACTGGGTATTGAAAGTCTATAAAAGCTATTCAAGGCGATGAAATGATGAAAGAGAAAGAAAAAATAAAAAATATGTTTACATTAAAAATAAAATAAAATAAACTCGAGTGTTCACGGTTAGAGTAGAACGACAGTAAACAAACTTTCTAAAGAGCGATTYAGGATTATCCGATTCAGTACATTAACTCTTTTGTGGTCAGAGAGCTTCATCTATAGAACCGTGTCACAACTGAAAAAGTKTTTTTTACACGTGTTAAATCTTTTGCTAGATTTTAAATGTTTTCAGTTTAATGTTTGATACGTTAAAGCTATTTCCTTCAACATTTAACAGCTACAAAGTTTCGAAGTTCTAACAAGTTCTGTCCTTCCTGATTAATCAAAAATTTATCAACTCAAGCACGCCGTTGTACAAGGTTGATAGAATCAATGGAAGCTAAAAGACTCTTGACAACGCAGATAAAGTAATTAATCTGTTTGTCCAGGATTGTTTTTACAAGAGTTTTAAAAGCTCCCGGTGGAAGCGTGAGCCAAAAATAACCATGGATTACATTAATATTCTGGTCTCTAAACTAATTACATCCATGGCGTCATGCAGGTAACCTAAATTTAAGAATTTAAAGGATTGGGCCCGGAAGGGCGATAGCGCTATCCGACCGATAAATCTTATCCAAGGGATAACTTTATTTGATAACAGCATCGAYCTATTCACTGGATATAGAGGATATAAMATGGCCGCGCAGAGATAMAGATTTTATCTTCGAGKTTGAGGTGATATAGTACGAGTCAAACGTAGCAAACGAGTAAGATAATCTCAACACGAGGTTAAATATGTTTGATATGTAATATAAATTTAATATTCAATGTATAATATACATATGTTTAATGTATAATAGCGGATCTCCGTAGACTTTGTTTGTTTGTTTGTTTGTTCTTAATTGTTTGTTTGTTTGTTTTGGATCATTAGTTCAGGTTGGCTGGAGAGTTGTTTGTTTACATGCTTGAGTTGTTTACCTGATTAATATTTTTGGTTCTATACTGGTTGTTTTTTTGTTTACTTGATTTATTGTTTGTTTGTTTGTATTYGGTTAGACTGTTGGATGTTGCGTTCGTTTATTGCATATTTCGATTTCAATAGTTACTTGCGTGTTCGGATTTTTTTGTTTCTGGTTATTGGTTGCTTTGGGTTGGTCCTACTTTCTTTCTCGCTTCTTTGTTTGTTTGTTTAGCTGGTTGGTTGGTTT